CTTTCTCCTGCCTGCAGCCGGCAGCGCACTGTACAGTAATCCTGCAACTTCTGCCTTTCAGCGATTCTACTCTAGCGAGTGTGCTTCTCTAATTTTTATTTTGTTGGGAGAGGGAGACTAATGAGGAGATGTGGGTAATTAGCTCAAATTTCCCTCTTCATACAGAAGGTCTACAGGCTGTGTTATATTCAGAGGTGATGCTCTGCTGCGTTTAGCACACCAATGCTTTAAAAAAATGGACGTGCATTATATTTAAAAAAATAAATAAAAAGTCACGCAACAAAGCGCATTTAACAAAAATAGATTGCATCTGCACTTGTGGTTAGTCTGTGGCTACCGTTCCTCCAGTTCCATCTTTCTGTTGAATATTTCTGTTTCACATGTGTCTCAAAATAACTGGGGAAAGAGAACTGAAACTTTATCCATTTCTCTGAAGGATAATTGAAAATGAATGTAACGATACTGGTAATATTTTTTTTTTAACTCCTGTATTGACAGCCCTGGGGGCTGACATCTTTTGTTTTTACAAAGCACAGGTAAAGCATAGATTCATGTCCTCCAGACATTTCTGGTGACCTATCTATGTTGCAAGGATGGGCTGGGATTTTCAGAAGCACCTAAGTAATTTAACCTCACTGAAAATTAGCTCAGATGGGGAGGTACTGCATGGGCTGGCTGCTTGCGGCTCTGCCAAGCTGGACCTGGGGAGGCAGCCGGTTTCCCCAAGACGTGTGCCCAGAGTGGTGCTTCAGGTCCCTGCCTCCTATGGGACCCACCCTGACCTTGGCAGGGTCAGAAAAGTAAATTGAGATTAAAGTTCCTGAAGTGGATCATGAGGGAGGCACCCTTTAAAAAAACCCATAAAATCAGGGTGGTGATGTTTAAAAGTTGTGGGTACCCTGACGTAAGGACAGAGGTTTATAGTAGTCAAGCGCAACCATACACAGGCTGATATGATGAGGAACACCTGGCATCATTTTACCCTCTTTCACCCACAAATCTGCTTT